CGTCTTCCTCCACTCTCGGCTCTGCTAGAGTTTCACCTCATGGCGAACCCTAGCAACTGTTACGACGAGCTATCGCATTGGATCCTCTTCTCTATTCGCTGCATCTTCTCCGGCGTCCCTTCTTCGTCATCGTCGTTTTGGAAAGTCGTCGCAGTCTTTCCTCCTCATCGACGCCATCTGCAAGGTCTGCCGCTCTCCTTTCCTTCGTCATCGTCGCCTCTCGTCTTCTTCCACGCTGCTTGCAATCCTCGGGCTCGAGCTGAAATCACAGGGGCTTCACGGAAGGGTTTCCGCTACTGCTCCCTATTCTGGATTTGGATTTTGCTCTCTGCTTTGCTTTCTTCACTGTTCTTAACGCCACACCTCCACTATTTGGGATGGCTTCGGACAGATTGTATGTTGCTGCCCTTGCGGGTGTCCACGCCTCAAGTACTCCTAAATCGTGTTAGCACTTAAATCATGCTCTTTTCCTCATTCGTTTGAGTGGGCAGAGGACATCAAGAAACCTGATAGGAAGAATGAGAATTCTGTAATCTTTTTTATAAAAGCTGAAGGCATTCAACTTGTTTCCTCCTGTCGACTGAATTTGGTAGGAAAATTTATGTATGACCATCCCAAAATGGAGCTAATTAGTAAGGAATTTGAGCTTATACACCTTGTTGGGGAGTGAAAAATTAGACTGTTAGATGGAAGATACATTCTTATACAACTAAATAATGATGAGAATTACACGTGATTATTTGCTAGAAGAATAATCTTGATTGATAATAGAGCAATGAAGATTCTGAAATGTCTGTGGATTTTGACCCACAGACGGAGCCACCAATCATTTCAATTTAGATTCGTCTTTCTGGTATGAAATTTTATTATTTACTCAAAAAATGTTGTACTCTATTGTCTCAGCTTATGGTAAGCCACTCAAAACGGACATTCCTACTTTTAATCTTTTCAGTCCATATGAAGTCAGAGTACTTGTTGAAAGAGACATCTCTTCATCCGCTTCTGAGGAAATTTGGTTGGGCACACAACACCATGGATATTGGCAAAAGATAGTGATTGAGTCTTTTTCCTTCATATTGTTTGAACTGTCGTATGTTTGGCCACTCCAGTTCTCAATGCCATCATCTACATCCTCACCTTAGACCAATCCGTCTCAGACCAAAAAAAGATATTGTTCCGCCAGAGGCAGTGAATTCATCTCCTCCTAATCAGCTCCAAGTTATTGACATTATTGATCATCAAAAGGATACCCCTGAAGATGTCACTATTCTCGCAGGAGATATGACAATCATTCAGTCCCCACACAATATTGTAGCTCCCTCCGCTTCTGGAACCTCCTATCGTGAGGGAGAGGGAGATTCTTCAGACCCCACCTGCCCTAGAACCTATCATCGATATTACAGATGGCAATACTTCTACTGCTTCACTACCACCTCATCAGGTCGAGCAAGCTGTTAATGTTACTCTGGCTTATGGGGATCATGATGTGCAACAGCCTACATCTGTCCGACCAACTTTGGAACAATCTATTGATCATATGAGTCAATCAACGGATGAGGAATGACAGGTCTACACATCCAAGAGAAAGAAGAATGGAGACCTACTTGAGCTTAAGAATCTGATGGATGATACTTTGGTTATTTCAAGCAATGGTACTCACCTTACCAATTTGTTAGTCGGCTCACTTCCGAGATCTAGAGGCAGAGAGAGGACTAAACTGGGACGTCCCTAGCACTTTTGCGCCCTTTGGTGGCTTTTTGATTTTTTAACTTTATGTATATTTGCTTTATTTGAGATTTGTGTGTGTTGTATTGTGTGAGTTTGGCTTTCTTTTAGGCCATCTCATACAACATTTCTATATGTTTTGGAGAGAAAGAAGAGAAAGAAGAATGGAGACCTACTTGAGCTTAAGAATCTGATGGATGATACTTTGGTTATTTCAAGCAATGGTACTCACCTTACCAATTTGTTAGTCGGCTCACTTCCGAGATCTAGAGGCAGAGAGAGGACTAAACTGGGACGTCCCTAGCACTTTTGCGCCCTTTGGTGGCTTTTTGATTTTTTAACTTTATGTATATTTGCTTTATTTGAGATTTGTGTGTGTTGTATTGTGTGAGTTTGGCTTTCTTTTAGGCCATCTCATACAACATTTCTATATGTTTTGAAGAGAAAGAAGAGAAAGAAGAATGGAGACTTACTTGAGCTTAAGAATCTGATGGATGATACTTTGGTTATTTCAAGCAATGGTACTCACCTTACCAATTTGTTAGTCGGCTCACTTCCGAGATCTAGAGGCAGAGAGAGGACTAAACTGGGACGTCCCTAGCACTTTTGTGCCCTTTGGTGGCTTTTTGATTTTTTAACTTTATGTATATTTGTTTTATTTGAGATTTGTGTGCGTTGTATTGTGTGAGTTTGGCTTTCTTTTAGGTCATCTCATACAACATTTCTATATGTTTTCCGCTTTAATATATTAGCCCTTGGGCTTTTTCTATATATATATACCAAACATGTGAATAGTATGATCAAGACAATTATTCCTCTCCAAAACCTGTTTTCTAAGAAAATGAAAGTACAACTAACCCATGCTTTTAATAGGAGCGATGATTGAATATTTGGTTAGTCATGTCAGACATAGACAATTGATATCTCAACTTACAGTATTATTAATGTATATTAGATCTTAGATTATGCATATTTTATATAATTCATTTTAAAACAAATGACATAGGCACATATACTTCACAAACATTCCTCTCTTCCATCTAGACAACTCTGAGGTGGTTTGTCTCTCGTTCATTTAAGTTTGACAAACTTCCCATTACCCAACTATTAGGTTGGTTGGTGGCAATTCTAATGAGGCAAGATGTAAGTCCTACATTTCTGTACTAATGATCACTAATAAGGTCATGTTGTAAGTCTCAATCTGTAGAATTCTCCACAATTTAGAATACTCCCATTCTTTAGGATCTAAAGCCTTTATTAGGCTTCTCCAATTTAGTGGTTGTGGACTACAAGTCCAGTCTATCAACCAATGATTAGGTCCCCTTACGCCTCCAAACCTACAAGATTAGTTTGGACAATGTAACCCACTGTTATTGGCAATGATCCTCTGGATAGAAAAATATGCTCATCTTATTTGACAAATAGACTAAAAGCTAATGATGACTTGGGAAAACAGACGTCTTGGGAAAACAGACGACTTGGGTTATTGATCGGGGTCGTCCTATCTCTTAGGTTAGTCCTCCCTTCCTTGAGGATTAGTCAACCTATCTTTCAGTTCAAAGCATGCCCTTTAGGTTAGTCTTTCTCCTAATGATAGACATCGCTTCCTATTTTTTTACAATGATTGACATCATATCTTCTAAGTTAATCAATCAAATCCTTAGGGCTTTCTCATCCCTTGGGATACATTTCTTTTCCCATTTCTTTTGATTATTAGCCCCAAGGTTATGCCACATAGTCATTTTCCAACAGCTTCTTCGAGCTATAGCTCAAGACTTTTCTAATGATCCAAACAATGTTCAAGGTTCCAAAATAAAAATCTCATCAACTTTCAAGTTATCTTTCTTTGCTATCATTCTATTGAGTGGCATGCCAAAATTACTGTTCATTAAATTAAAGAAATTTGTTTCTTACAGAAAGAACAACCTCATTCAAGACTTAAAATAATTTTGATCAAAATCTTATGATTATGCTTCCACATTCTAAGGATTTACTCATACCCTTCACCACGTCAAAAATCTCAACATCATGAGCCTTATAATGTTTAAGGATTTCTCCGTACTTCAAATATAAAGGATTGCCTATTTGTCATCGGTTATTGCTCATAAATTTCGATTTATCTTTATTTTGAATCCTTATATTCTTAATTAAAAGGGATCAATTAACGTTGTAAAAAAAAAAAAAAAAACATAAGATTTCTTGATTGTGAGTTTGGTAAGGCATCGCCATAATGTAATTAACCGTAAAATAATTTTCTTTCTAGAAATTTTAACCCCATAAACTGTATATTCAGTATAATGAGAACATCTATGAGAATTCAAATATCTAGTTTGCATATTACTATTTTCAAAAGGTCAGATAGAAAATTGATCTCATGTAAGTCCTCTATTGCAATTCATTAATATCATTCTAAGCCAACATTTTCTTCATTTCAAATATCATTTGCCAAATACCATTACTACAGAAAAAAATATAAAAAGTAAGAAAATAATTCCACACAAAAAAATCACTCAATCACCATTGTGGTGGACGTTCATATCAGAAGAAGAAAGCATACATCATGTAGGCGTTGAAAAAAAAAAGTCATATTTTCTTAAAGTTAAAACATAATGTATATGGCAAAAACTTAGTCATGCATAGAGTTAAATTTTCCTAAATACAGATAGACTCTTTAACATGAAAAGATTAAAACATTTGCAAAACATGAGTCACAAGATATAAACATGGCAACCTAAGGAAAATTTCCTTTATCAGATATAACTTTATATGATTCGCATAGATGAATAAATTCCATGAGCGAATGGTGGCATTAAGTATATGTAAAATTTTAACGATAAGCTTCCCTGACTTATAGTAGATCAATAGGTGTGGAGTGCACTCATTCAATGAGTACCACAACACATGCTAGCGTTTTAGTGTTCATTGTTTCTACCGCACACCACTTGAAAAGTTTTGAACACTAAGATATCCACCCACAATTCCCAAGTGAAACACATAGCGGCCATCTTGGACAGAGTATATAAATTCCAGTGACAGGAAAGTTTACGTGGAACGCGCACAATTCAGGTTCAAGTCAAAAAGGAAAACGGGGAGGAGAAAATTCAAGATATGGAAACAGTCCCACCTGGCATGCGAATAATCCCAAATCCCAATCCCTTTTCGATGGTGTGAAAAATTTATGAAAATTAGTGAAATAACTAAATGGGATGCACGTGATTCACGAATAAAAGCAACGAAAGCTGAATCATGACAAACAGAAGATCAAGATGACCCACATGCCAGTAATCACTATCGACCGTGAGCATCTTCGTGATGGCGAATGAACCAGCTGCAAGCACGATGGAAGCGTTGATGACCCGATCGACAACTTTATTCTGGATTTCCCCTTCTATGGGAGAACCAGAAGGCAAGGACGACGTCGAGAAACCCACTCCTTCCCCAACTCCGCCAGCCTGGCTTTCGAAAGAGACGTCGAGAAACCCACTCCTCCTTCCCCAACTCCGCCAGCCTGGCTTTCGAAAGCCAATCCCATAATCTGGCTAGCACTTGGCCCGGGCTGATCAAGCCTGCTTTGTATCTCCTCACTTTCCCTGTTTATTAGAGGGGCAATCCCACCCAGCTCATCCGTCACGACTCCGCTAGGGATGGGGATGACGTCGATTTCGTCATTGATCGACACAGCAGTTGGCGGCGGCCGGGACTTGCGAGCTCCAGCAGTTGCGTTGGTGGCGATTCTGATGCAGAAGGAGAAAGACGACGGAAGAGCAACAGAAGACTTTGACGTGATGAGGGTGGAGGTGGAGTTGGGGAGGGAAAAGAACCTCTGAAAGGCTACGGTATTGATGACCGCCATGAGAGAGAGGGAGGACAGAGAAGGCGAAACGTCTCCTAGCTTCCTCTCCTCCACTTCTTCGCCCAGGATAGCTCCGACTAATTGTATGCTTTCTAAGGCGGTGTTTGCGTGCAATTTTGATTTATTATTTATTTATAAAATTCGGTAAATTCAAATTTATTAAATTGACATTAATTGACATTGGGATGATTCTTCTCATGTATAAGAGCCGAATAAATTCATATCATTGTCAGATTTATTTATTAAATCTAGATTTATATTATATAAGTGACAAACACTTCAGAAAGAAGATAGAACCTGAGAAAATTAAATTTAAGAAAAAATTGGATTTAATTCTTATTTTCTTAGTCTTTGACTGGATTTAAGAAATTATTAACTATGTTCTTATTTTGAATCATTTTTTATTTTTATTTTTAGTCTGTTTAACTTTTTGTTCTGTTTTCTATTTACTATTTTTATTTTTAGAAAAACATCTTTGGTATTGTTATGATTTATATGTTTTTTAAAATAAAAAGTACAAAAAATGTTAGGTTAGGAATTAAATAAATATTATTATTATTAATTAATTATTTTAATTTTATAGTTACTAATTAAAATTAAATTATTAATAAGTTTATAATTATTAAGTCAATTATGTTAATTAACTAATTTATTAATTGAAATTATTAATTAATTAAAAATTTTACTTTATTAAGTTTATAAATTAAACTATATAATTATTAAGTTAATTAATTAAATTATTAATATTTTCTTAAGTTAAATTATTAATCAGATTTTAATTATTAAGTTAATTAATTAAATGATTTTTTTTTTGAATTATTATGGGTCTAATTGATTAATTTTTAAGTTACTTAAGTCGATTTAATATTAAAATTTTATAAGCATAAGTTAATTAATTAAATCATTAATTGAAACTAAATATTAATAAGTTTATAATTATTAAATTATTAACTTCCATGTCAAAATTTCTCAATATGTGCATTCTACATTATGTGCTGATTTTCCATGTGTAGTCCTCTTTTATGTTAAGTATTTTGTCATGTGTTATTTATGTGAACTTGAAAAACTTTCATGTGTTAAGTTTATCTCAATGTGTGGAGAGACGATGGAGCGCGGGTTTCCTCAGGGCGATGGTAACTTCTTGGTGACCTAGAAGAGATTTGTTGAGTGTTTCTTTATTTATTTTCTTCATACTTTCAATTGGTTTTCTGAGTTGGTGCTTGCTTGGTCTTGTGTGGGATTTTCTTTTATTAGTGATGGCAGATTTACTTAATCGGCCTTCCTTCCTTGAGGCAGTCATTGGTAGGAACTCTACCAATCTTGTTCCGGCTAATAATTGTTTGTTTCTTGTCTCTTTTAGGGTGAATTTGTGTGAAGATAAGATGGATGGTTTTATCAAAAGAGTTACTAAGAAGAATGGAAAACTGGCGTTGTTGTATAGCGAAGCAGAAACTTCTTTGCATGTAGAACCAATGAAATTTACATTAATTGGAAAATTTACATATGACCACCTGATGATTGAGGTAATTCGTAGAGTCTTTGCTGAGCTTAAGTTAGCGTGTAACTAAAATGTAGGCTTGATTGATGGTAGAAATTTGAAGATTAACTTGGAGAAGAAAAAAGATTATGCTCTTCTCTTTGCCAAGTAAGTTGTGCAGATTGAGAGGCTTGGAATGAAGATTTTAAAATGGATTGTGGATTTTAATCCACATGAGGAGCCTCTGATTTGTTTCTATCTGGTTCCGGTTTCTAGGTTTGAAATTGCATTTATTTCATAAAAAAGTTTTATTCTCTTTAAGAATGATTTTTGGCACACCCATGAAAATTGATACGGCTACCTTGAATTGCTCGAGACCATCTGTTGCACATATACTGATTGAGAGGGATGTTACTCTCCCTTTAAGTGATAAGGTGTGGTTGGTGACACCAATTCGGGGTATTGGCAAGCGGTTGAAATGGAGTATGTCCCTCCTTATTGCAATAAATGTCGTATATTTGTCCATTGTTATTCTAATTGTTTTGTTGTGCATCCTAATTTAAAGATTAAGATTAAAAAAGCAGAAAAAAATGGCAAAATTAATGTGTTTGATGCAGATTTGGGCAAAGATATTGAAAATAATATTACGGCCACTCTAATGTTGAGATAAAGCAATATAGTAATGTTGTCAATAAAGATATAGGTATTTCTATAGAGCAACAATCTTTGGATCAATCAATTGATCCTCCTAATATTCTTCCCATTACTGATAATTTAAATGTCAATCCGATACATGGTACATTATGTATTGATGGTAATACTGCTATTACTAAGTCCCTTATTGCAAATTATACTTTGGTTTTTATGAGGGTTGAACCAGAGGAGGAATGGATGATCCAAAGATCATCTCGAAAAAGGAAAATAAAAGGTAGTCAAGAACTTGGGTATGTTAATCCAAAAGCTCTTTCAATGCAACAAATGGGTAAGCATATTGATGTTTCTGAAAATCATTCTTCTTCTAGACCTTCTAGAGGAAGAACGGAAAATGAGGAGGTCTGATTTCTTGCAGGTTTTCTTTTCTTTCTTTTTTTTTGGGTTATTATGATGTTTAAATTTTTAATTTGGAATATTAAAGGACTTGTCAAATCCAATGCCTCTAATCAGTTAAGAAATCTTATTAGAAATTATAAGTTGAGGTTCTTTTGCGTTTTAGAACCTATCGTGGATGTGCAGAACAATGAAAAATATAGAAGGAGAATTGGTAATTTTAATCTTATGACTAAGATTAAGATCAAGATTTGGTTCTTGTCGGAGCATGATATCAAGTTTGATGTTGACTCGACTCGTAATTATGTAATTATTTAAGTTTAGAAATATGGCCAAAAGCTTGACCAAATTTATATTCAGTGGATAGTGTGCAAAATTAAATATTATATAAAGATGATTAAAATGGTTTACACATAAAGAGTACTACACAAGTATATGTATCGTTTCAAGTAATATATAATTTTCTTTAAAAACCCCAGAATCGATTCTAGTCAAAACTCTTGTAAAGTTAACTTTAATAAAACCTAGTTTTAAATTGTAGAAAACTTATATAGTAAATGATCACATGTTTTTGTGTAATATATAATCCTATAGAATTAACGAAATGATAAGTATGCTAAGCAAATGCAAAATGTAAATGCAGGACAATCTAAAAAGGTTTTAAAATGTAACGTTACCACTACTCTAAACTAAAAATGTATGAAGATTTCAAATTTATATAAAACATCATTCCCCTTGCAATGAGTTTATAATTAGTGTGGCAAAATAATTTTAAATATAATTAAGGTATTGTACCAAATAGAAGCAATTATATTCTTTACCCACTGTCAAGTGCATAAAGAACATTGATTAATCCAATGTTTGATCTGTAAACCTGTGGTTAGGCTAGGAAGAGACTAGCTTTCACTCTAGAGTTCCCTCTTCCCCTCACCTGAGGCTAACATCTAGCTTTATTTTCTAAAAATCTAGACTAAATTGTAGATTTTAGTCAGTCACCCTAAAATCTCTAATTCTACACCCATCAAAACTTATTTCCCTTTTTATTTGCACAACCTCAAGGAATACATTCTCATCCATGAGGCTAAATGTGATTTTTACCATGTTGGAACATAGCCCATTTTTTGTCACTACATTTTACAACAGATTTTAACAAATCAATTGGCCAGATCGATAAGTAAATTAAACATAAAGTTTGAATCAATACAACTTATGTAATTTTAAAAGCAATTATACTAAACTACATTCCTACACATAATTGTTCCTCATTGCAGGGAGAAAGACAAAGGAAATTTCTCAGATCTCATGGAGAAGAAACAACAATACATGGATTTAGAGATAAATAAAAGTTTATAAGAAAAGAAAAGGTAAAATAAATAAAGTACACAACTTATCTTAAACTCATTCCCAAGCAATCCTTCTAGTTCTTTTGAATCATTTACTCTCCTTACAATTCTACTTCAAACTTACTCAAAATCTATAGTGAAGAAGATATTTCTCACTTCTCTTCTCCTCCAAATCCAAGCAAGCCTCAGAGACTTTCTCCTCTCTAGGAGAAATCCACTTCTCTACAAAAGTCTCCCTTTTCTTCCTCTCAAAGTACCCCTTTTGAATCTCCAGAAGTCTCTTTAAATAGAGCACTCAAAATCCCCAAAAATTTCTTCAAACACCTCTTCAAAATCCATTCACATTCAATATATCTTCTAGATAACTGTCTATGGCGCCTAGGTACCAGACTCTCTGTTGTCTGACGCCTAAGTGTCAGATCAACATTGGTCTTTTTGCTTTATTTGACTTCAATTTGCTCTATTTGCTCCATTTAGTATATCTGCACCCAAAGACATCAAAAATATCTTTCACTAAAGCGCAATATTACTAAAAATATGCATTAAATGTGCAAATAAAAGTAACATATTTTACACATGTGAGAATCTCCCTAACTTAATTGTACTTGTTCTCAAGTAACTTATTTCTTCTGAAAAATAAAATATTTTAATATGTGGTGGTGGGTTTCATTAAATATCTCTATAGTTTTGTCCTCTAAATGTGGTAGTCATGACCTTAGGAAAATCTTAGTAATTCAGGTTAGAAATAAGGCATAAGAATATTTTGTAATCAAGTCCAAGAATTTAATTTTTTCTATTCATTTCAAAAATTAATTGTAGTTTGAAAAACATAGAAGTTTTAGAAAAATAACAGATAGACTTTGAGAGAACTCTATTAAAGGTAAACTAATATTGTAATAAAATTAAAGCTCAGAACTGAATAAAGTTTTTTTCTTTAAAATGATTCAAGTTAAGCCAATTTTTAATTATGCATCCCCTCAAGCTTCTCCTCACTTTCATATAAACTTTTCTTTTCTTTCTTTTAATCCTTTTCTTTTTACTTTCAAGATCCTTTTCAATTCTTTCTTTTCTTTTTTTTCAGTGAAGATTACTATATATGCATCAGTCTTTAATGATTTTGAACTTCACTCTCCTCCTCTTAAATATAAAAATCTATCACATTCCTTTACCTTAATGCTTTATATTAGTTTTCAAAAATGATTTTTCATAGATTCTAAATTCTTTAAAGTATAGATCTATGAT